GAGACCTGAAAATGGCTGTCCACCAACGTTTACCATCCAACCTTACAGAACTGGAGAGGATCTGCAAGGAGGAATGGCAGAGGATCCCCAAATGCAGGTGTGAAAAACTTGTTGCATCATTCCCAAAAAGACTCATGGCTGTATTAGCTCAAAAGGGTGCTTCTACTAAATACTGAGCAAAGGGTCTGAATACTTATGACCATGTGATATTTCAGTTTTTCTTTTTTAATAAATCTGCAAAAATGTAAAAAATTCTGTGTTTTTCTGTCAATATGGGGTGCTGTGTGTACATTAATGAGGAAAGAAATGAACTTAAATGATTTTAGCATATGGCTGCAATATAACAAAGAGTGAAAAATTTAAGGGGGTCTGAATACTTTCCGTACCAACTGTAATAGTGTTTCCTAAACTAACACAAATATTAAAATTGTCTGGAAGTTCCTGATATGGCCAAAGAACTAGCATTTTGATATGCGCTTGAGGCTGCAACAGTCATGCAACATGTGAAAATGTTTACAAGTTCTTGGCCTACCGTGTTAACCGAACACAGAAGCTAACTGTTCCTGACAGTTGGTGAACTATCATTCTGAACTGGATGAAGGTACAAACTGAAAATCCAGTGAAACTTCCCCTGTCTTCCTTGTGTCTCACATGCATGCTTTGGCCAAAATGTAAGTTATTTTCATTATATTAGAGGAAAATGACATCATTGTAAAACAGGTGCCTTGCTGGAGCTTGGAAATGGTGAAGGATATAGTCAGGGCTGTCAGACACCCTTAATTTGCTTTATTATAAGGAGAAAGAGTGAGTTGACCCAACCAATAAACAGCTCTTTATGACACTGCATGTCAAGAAATTACTGAACAGATGTGTAGGTGTTGTAGACAAAAAACACATGGCAATTAGGAGGAGTGAGGGAGAAGGTGAAAAGGACAGGAGGTAGGAAAACAGACTACACCTGAAACAGAGACATGGGTGACACAGAAGGAGGGACCGAGAAAGCTTTTAAGACAAAGTAGAAGAAACACTAAAAGTGCTAGAATTGTCCACAAGATAATCTCTTCACTAACAGGTGAGCTTGTATAACTGAATCAACCGATAGGGCTGGTGGCCCCTAAAGCTGATCATCTGCCTCCTCAAGTTCCCAACATGAACATGCATGTACAGAATTTTAAGCTGTTACAGCAAGAATGTTTTTGGCTGTCACATAGCCTACAGTGCACTTTATAGCTCTTCCAGGGCACGTCAAGTTGAACAAGTGAATAACTGACATACCCTGAAGTCTAGAAGGACCAAATATTCATTTTTTCCATCCAAAAGCATGTATCAGAAAAATATGAGGAAATGTCTGCCCAGTTCAAATATCATGTTTAATCATGTCCAGACAGAGTCAAATAAAAAAGAATTCAATAAGATCATTCACAAACTTTTGAAGACACAAATTATCAATGACTTTAACAGAAGCTATCACAACCAAGTCCCTTTTGGTGATTCACTGACTGTCACACAACAGAGTATAACTGCATTAGCATCTTTAACCATTATTCCTATGACTACAAAGCACGGCACTGACATACCAAAGAGCATAGGGTCTGACCTTGCAGGGCATGGCTGGGTGTTGCAGGGCATCAATCCAGTAGCTGGTCTTGATTTGGGATTGCAGTAGGATGTGTTCACCTGCGCTCGTAGGTCTTTGTAGCATGCTGACTTGGTGCTCATCTGGCCTGTATGGTGTATATAATTACTTCAGCTGTTTCTTCACATATGAATATCACTTTCATTTTTAGTCAGGCTGTTTTGTCTGACACTTTCTTTCTGTAATGTAAGGGTTAGGGTTCACATTAGGGTAGGTTCACATTGACTGTGCTTCATTATAATGCTCTGGTAAGGGTTAAAGGTAACTGAAACAGATTTAAAGTATAAAAACTTGTGTTACTGAGCTGAAGGTTCATTCATGAACTTAACAGCAGCTGTACAAAAAGTACCTCGGAACTTGATCATCTTACAACAAAACAGAATTGTTATTTAAGTCATAGTGTGTCAGGATGTTATCAAATGTTTGCACATAACATAAGAGCAATATGTGAATATGTAACACCTGTTTAATGATCGGAAACACACTTCATTTTCCCACTTGGAAAGTGGGTCCACACTTTTTGAGTGTATGTGTATGTACACTAACATACCTTGTAGGTGGTAAAATGTACAATATGATTAACATTGTTCAAAGTATGAACATGAGCAGTTTTATTGGTTATTGAAAAAAATCTCTCTGTTAAAGTTAAGTATTATTGTTTACTTTGTTGGAGGCTAACAATCCTTTTTGAATTCTGTGACTTTTATGTTGGCAAGTTTTGGCATTAATGCACATCTAACAGTGCTGTTTGGAAACTGGAATCCCAGTTTCACAGATCCTCTGGTTGGTATTTGGCCTTAGGCAAGGTCAGTCTGCACATCTCAGCTAGTACAGGTCAGTCAGTCACACTCTTTAATAAAGCAAACAACCCCCAACTCCTCACAGGCTCCAATCAGGAAACAAAGAGACAGAAGTGGTTAGGGTGGACCACAGCTTTAACTGGGAGGGTCAATCAATGGGAACCCTACACTGGGGGCTTTGTTCACATCTCATCAACACACAAACACTCCATTGCATACACACAAAGCAAATGTGTATGAGTAAACACATGAGCACTCACACACAGATACTCATGCACAAAGATAAACTTTTTTGCCTCTGACCTACAAACTCAAATCATCATGGCAGGAACTGCTCAGGCCAATACAGCAGCCTTTGCTTGTGTGTTTGTGTGTGGGAGCTTAATACTAGGTCTCTGGTTGGACAAAGGCCACAGGTTGAAGCCATGCATGTATGTGCTTGCTTGCTTTAATGTCTCTCTCTCTCTCTCTGTGTGTGTGTGAGCACATGTAATAGCAGGTCTCCTGTAGAATAAGAAGACAAGCCACCAGTCCCAAACGAGAGCTACTAATGTCCCCTCAGTAAAGATGTGAATGCTCGAGCCTCCATTTAATCTGCAGCTGATATTCTTATTATAGATTAGAGAGGCCAGACTGAGCTTCAGATGCATGTTCATTGATCTACACACTGTCCTCCTAATCCGTTGGCTGGCCCAGTTTACATGGCCCAGATTGAAGATTTGAAGGTGAACTATCCTTTTTCAACAAGACAATATACAGTACTTGGAAATAATTAAAATTAAATGTGAAAACTGCTACAGAAAAACAGCTAAATGCACAACAGATGTGATGTGACAGGGACAATGAAAAGGACTGCACTACATGTTGAACACTTCCATCACTGAGGTTTGACACATTTTGGCATGATTTGCAGCACAAGACAATAAAAAAAATAAAAAAAGATGTTTACACATACCTCCGGCACAAGTTGCTGAGCACTGGGAGCGTACGATAGCCCATGTATAATTGTGTTTACTGTGATTCTTCTTCTCTTCGGCTTTCCTCTGAGCATATTCCCAACGTACCCCTGGGTTCCGGCCTTGCAATAATATCTGGAGGAAGAAAATTGTAGAAACTATTAAATAACAGGCCGCAAAAGGAAAACAAAATAACATTTAAGCACCTAATCATGTACAGCAGTAAAGCAGCACGGGAGAAAGGACCAAAAGAAGGGAGAGACATCTTATACTGTACTGTATATAAAAATTGCACAAACACATAAATAAGCAACATATTAACATCAGTCGAGACAATGATTTCTGTGTCCACTGATCCCTAACCTCTATGACCAATGTCTCATTGGTGGGACCAGTTGATATGAGGCTCTCTGGTCTGTTATAGGGTATCTTGTACTCAAAAATGGCTCCAGCAAAGTGGTGTTGACCTGGCCTGTCAACTGTCCAGTGTCCGTTGAGGTAGTAGTGTTTCTGGGTGTTCCTGACAGCCAGGTAGGAACTGGATGCATTCAGTTCCATCACGCGGATACTCCGAGCTCCTGCTGGGATGGTTACCACCCCATAGTACTCTGGGAAATGAGTATAAAAAGTAGAACAAGTACCAAACTAAGTCTCAACAAATCATAACTAAAACAAGTCTGATAAAATATCATATGTCAGTGCATTTTGCTGTAAAGAAAAAGACAACAGTAACTTTTAAAAATATCTCAAAGAATAAAATAATCAAATCAGCTTAAGTAAACAATTTACTTTGACATACGGTTAGTATAATACTGCTTAGTGTATTGTCCTTTGTAGATCTTGCAGGTGGAGTTGTCTCCTTTACACACCCCACATGAATCAGGTACAGCTGTGGAACCCAGCACACGGTCACAGCCCACTCTCTGTGGAAGAAAAATATCATTATAGATAATATACATAAAATGCAACATTATATCATAAGATAAATGAGCACCGCTGACAATTGCCATTAGTTATCCCGTAAGTAATGGCAATCCATTCTCACATATGATAAAAAAAAAGGTTTGTCTTACTGCCTGATATTTAAAAGTATTACCTCACACAGCCCGTCAATGCAAACATTAGAGCTGTCTTCTGTGCAAAGCGTCCCGTCCTTAACTTTACTGGCCAGGGCGAAGAAGAAATCATAACCTTCAGCTAAGCAGTACAGTTTACATACATCTTGATCTGAAAGAAAAGAAAATAACGAGTGGCGCCAGATGCACCAAGCAAATAGCTAGCTGAAAAAAATCTCACCCAGAGTTTCTGTTTTAAAACTTCTTTTTCCTGAGTAATGTTGTAAACTAATGGAACAATTATCTCACCATCTACTCTAGTGTATGGTCTCCAGGTGTAGTGCCATCCTCTGAACTGTTTGCTGTTGAATTCAGCACACTGCTGTGCTCTGTAGTCGGTGGTGTTGGCAGGACAATCCTCAGTGTTGCAAAGTTTGTACAACCTGGGGGAGCCCTCACAGAACTTCCCTCCATATGCAGGTCTGCAGAGAGGAGGACATACAAATGTCAAGGAAATTGAGCTTTCCAGTTGTTATTATCAAATGGATATTTAATATTTTACTCTTGAATTACTTTCTTCATAATGTTTTGGTTTCTTCTCACAAGAATGCATGTTCATGGAGAGTGAGCAAGTCAAAGTATGTTGTATCACAAATAACACTAAATTTCATTGTTGGCATGCTCATATCTAAATATTCTTCTCTCTGTATGTGGCTTTGTGAAGGCTTCTCTAGTCACAGGTATATATCCCTTCCACAGGACAATTAAACATTTTGTAAGCCCTCCAATCCCAACTTCAGTTTCTCTTTGTGCACTTCATCTTCAGGTTTTTTAATTCCTTCTATGTCATCTCTCCTACACCCCCTCATCCCTTTTGCTATCTTTGTTTTCCTTTGCCTCCCCCACCATCCTTCCTTCCCCATCACTTTGTCTTTCTCTTTATCACTCTCTGTCTAATAGCCACTTGTCAGGACCTTGGCATGACATGATAAAGAGGAGGCCCCGGCATTCGGCATAGGGCTCCCTGGCTGACTGGTAGTGCAAACAATCCTGGGTGAGTATGGGACTAAGTGAGCAGATAAGTGATGACCACAGACCTATGTGAGAGTCCTGTATATGAAACCATGGAAGTCTATTTACATATTTGCTAGTTATTTAATTACTGCACATTTAGTGTATAGTGGATGTTTATTCTTAACACATTTATACATCCTTTTTTTGATATATTCTACACTGGAACGCTAAAAGTATGGATATAGTCAAATAGGCTATCTGTGATGTGGCTGAAAGAGCATTGACAATAATCTGCTTTAGGTGTGTGTAACCCACCTGATGTTGTGGTTATTGAAAAAAGAAAAAAAAACTGATACATAGAGGTAACTTTATTGTGAAGGGTTGTGCATTTTCCACTGAAAAGAAATAAGTAGAAGATTGATAAGTAACAAAACCAATCAGGAACTGTCAGGGTCAGGTGAGATACGCCTCACAAGTTCCGCCCTTGGGTAGAGTCAGGGGTGTTGGCACCAATTGAGAATTGGTCGTGGTAGCGAGTGAAAGCACTCTGAGCTAAAGATAATAGCTAATGGCTGACGCCATTAGCTCGTGTCCGGGACAGCAGTGAATTAGGGAATTCTACCTCGTTAGGGAGCGAGAAGCAGAAGGTAAAACTTTATGGTTACACCTATTTATTTTTTTGAATTTTATGAGAAATTAAATTGAGTGTTATGTTAAAACCATGCCACTGTGTGTTGAAGAGATAAGATGGCTGCGTTGTGTGTGCGCCATTCTGAGCGGACATTACGTATGCTTGTATTAATACAAGGAGATTGGTGAGCCATACATTTTGTTTATGTATATATATATATATGAATATTCACTTGTGATTAATATACGCTGGAAATGTGAATATGTTTAAGTATGTAGGTAAATTCATAATGTTATACTTAGCATTATAAAAATATAGTGTTAAATACTGGAAGTTGAATGCATTGAGATACTAAAGGCCTTTTCACACCGAACGAAAAAGCGAAAAAAACGCAGGCGAATTTAACGCACCAAAAGTATTCACACCGAACGCGACGCGAATAAGCGATATTTTCTTAAAACGTCGCGCTACATAGATGGACTCCACATCAAGCGACGACGATGTACTGCTTGTCCTGCTACATAAAAAA